AGAGCTTTTTAGTTTTATAAGGTCCCATTTATCTATGCTATCTCTTAGTTGCTGTGCTGCTGGGGTTTCATTGAGAAAGTTCTTACCTATACCTACTAACTCCAGAGTATTTCCTACTCTTTAGATGTGACTTTTGAAGCATTAATTGTTTTGCTGTAGAATGTTTTACATAATGTGTATGTAAAATTATAGGTACCCTTTAATATTGACATTAAATATTGAAACACATATAACTTACATAAATCAACATTAAGAAAGAAATTTTCGTTGTCTCTCAGAGAAGTAGTTACTTTGATTTTCAAGTTTTTCCTGGTGGTATAGCCACTTTCAGACAACCCCAGATGACCCCCACACCCCTTTCATCTAATAATTTTCAAATTTCCCTATATATGTTTAGTAGTAGAATTTTTTTTTTTTCTTGCAGTACTGGAGTTTGAACTCAGTGCCTCATGCTTCCTAGGCAGGCTCTCTACCAAGTGGCTCTCTACAGCCAGCCCTAATAGTAAAGATTTAAAGTAAATATATACTTAAATTTCTGAGCATCTTAAACTACTGCCATCAAATTTTATAAAAATAATAACATTTTTAGGTGTTTTTCTTTTGTGGTGCTGGCTATCAAGCCTAGGGCTTATATATGTCAGGCAAGCATTTTACCACTGAGCTATATCCCCAGCTCCTTTCTAGGTTTTTTAAATCAAAAAACCTTAGGTGTTATATAATTTTTCCCTTAATTTTCTCAGTTTTCCAAAGGCATTATTATTGTATCCTAGCTCAGTATTTTAACTCTTTATTTTCCCTCTTCTAAAACCTATTTCACTACATTAGCATTTATTGGTTGAACACCTTAAAAGTTGAAGGTAAACTGATTATTATTATTTTTTTATTTTCACAAAGTTCTTTTGAAAATAACTTGAATTTTACATGACTTTGGCTGTTAGATTTTCAGGAAATATAAGAGATTGTACTGTATGGGTATTTACCATTTGCTTTTCCATTTGACTTCTACATTTGGATGATAACTTCTTTAGGCTAAGTACCTTACAGAACTCTCTTATTTTCCCTAGTAAAGACAGAGTAGGAAGTATTATTTTGACTCCTAGGATGTCCAGAAATAATCATGTCATAGTGGTAATCTAGCTTTTAAAAAAATTTATAGTTATGATCAGTGATGCAAATTTCTTCTTACATGTGAAATGTAGATTAACTATAAAGTTCAAGAACTTCTGGTAACTTCAGGAAAATAAAATATAGGTACTTTGTACTGATAAGAACAGCTCAGTATGTATGTGCATTTTTTCCAGAGGGTGCTCTTTTTGAATAGATGCTCCTTTGAAAAAAATTAGCAGACATGTCTGAAGGAATTGTAATAGACAGTTTCTGAAGAAGTGCTCTTATATTGCTTATTACTATTCTTGGGACTCCCTAAAGATGAGGTGGAAAAATGAAATAAAATTAATAAGCTGTGGAATGTTTAAGATTTCAAGATAGATTATGGGTTAAAATTTAAAATGATTATGATTATGATGATATGTGTGTGTGTGTGTATTTTTTAAAAAAGTAGCAGAGTTTTATTGAGAGTGAGTGAAATTAGGAAGTATAATCTGCAAGGAAGTGGGGGAATAGTCTCTAAGCAGGGTGGTTTAAGAGCAGCACCTATAGCTCAAGAGCCTGAGGAATGTAAAGATCATGGCAAATTGTCATAGTCAAAGATTTCACCACGCTTACCACCAGAAATATTTCAGTACTTTTGCTTATAGTTTTAGTGAGTAAGTATGGTAATTAATCTCTTTAAGTTGGGAATTATCTGGTGATACCAGTTTCCTTGACCTCAGCAAAAAAGAATTCTAAATAGCTAACTAGATATTACAGATCCTGTACATTAAATCCCATGCACTGACTCAATTAGGAATGCCCTTAGACATTTGCTCAACTTATTTTTTATTATAAAATATACATAACACAATTTATCATTTTAGTCATTTTTAATTATACAGCTTTGCCATTAAATACACTTACATTTTTTGTGTACCCATCACCATTATCTATGTTTGGAACTTTTTCACTAACTCAAACTTAATGACTACTGAAAGCATTAATTTTCCATTCCCTCATTCTGCCCCAGCTCCTGGTGACCACTGTTCTACAGTCTGTCTGTGAATTTGACTCTTCTAGGTACTTCATAAATGTGAAGTATTTCTTCTTTCATGTCTGGCTTATTTCACTTAGGATAATATGTTCAAGATTTAAGGATAGTACAGTCAAGATTTACGCATCTGTGTTGTAGGATGCATCAACATTTCCTTTTTAAGGATAATGTTTTATTATATGTATATAACTCATTTTGTTTATTCAGTCATCTTTGAAGGACACTGGATTGTTTTTACCTTTTAACTGTTAAGAATAACGTTGCTGTGAGCATTGGCATACATACATGTTTTAGTCCCTGTTTTCAAAATTATGGGGGTGGCGCTGGGCGCTGTGGCTAATACCTGTAATCCTAGCACTTGGGCGGTGGAGATTTGGAGGGTTGTGGTCTGAGGCCAGCCAGGAAAACAGGTAATGAGACTCCATCTCAACCAACAAACTGAGTCTGGTGGTGCATACCTGTGATTTTAGCTATGTGGGATCCAGGCTGGCCTGTGCAAAATGAGAGATCCTGTATAAAAGGTAAAAGGGGGTGTGGCTCAAGTAGTAGAGCACAAATGCAAGGCCCTAAGCTCAAACCCTGGTATTGTAAAAAATACCTAGAAGTATTGGATCACATGATGAGTCTGTGTTTTAATATTTTGAGGAACCACCTTCTATTTTCTACATGAGCTGCATGATTTTATATTTTTACCAGCAAAAATAGGAGGGTTCCAGTTTCTCCACATCCTGGTTAACACTGTTATTCTCTGTTTTCTTTTCTTCTTCTTCTTTTTTTTTTGTATTATGATATCCATACTAATGGGTGTTTACTCAGCTAATTTTGTCTTAACTCTGATGTAGTTAAAAGTAAGATGGATAATTGATTCGCCAGTTATAGGAGATTAGATAAGGAATATAGGACTTAGATCGAGTAGAGCCATTTCAAGAAGCAATGAAACTTGGATTGTGCAACTAGAGAACATTTTTATCACTGCAAAGTTTTTGTTTTTGCCAGCACTGTTGTATATTTTCATTAGAGATGTTCTAAAGGGTAATACAGCAATGCTTTTGTTACAATTATTAAGGTCTTAGAGGAATTTAGGGTTTGAAACTTGACTTACAATAGTTAAAGATTCATAAGTGATGGAATCTATTTGAAATATTGATGATTATTCAATACTTATTTCAGTACTCTTGGAGGCATAATAGTATAGGAACTCATGCATGCAAGTATTAGTTACATATATACCAGATATACATGTAGGAGTTACTGATCTGTATAGATAAATGTATCTGTAAATTTGTATCTCCTACATATATAAAATATATGTCCTATGACATAAGTATGTCTATGCCTCACCTATTACCTCTACACAAAAAGTACAGATATTCCCTAATGTTTTCTGGAAGGTAGTCCACATCAAATTTCCCTAATTGTTCTCACAATGTCTTTTTATAGCTCTGCCTATTCCTATCCCATATTGCCAAAGGCTCAGACATTGCAGTTGGTTGCTGTATATTTACTTTTTTTATACATAGTCCTTACATTGAAATTATTTCTTTTCCTTTTTATGGCATTGACTTTCTAAATAAACTAGGCCAGGTACCTTACAAAGTATCCCCATCTCAATTTTGTTTAATGGCTTGCTTTTGGTGTCATTGAACTTGTTCTTCTATTCCCTGTATTTCCTGTGAACTACAAGTTGGTTCTAAAGACCTGACTTATGGTTTCTTTAAAGGGTTAGATAATTTGCTAAGGACACTGTAGGTGATGCTTTGATTTTGAATTTTTGTTTTTCGTTCATGATGATTATGTGTTAGTTTTATGTAGTGATTCTCATCTTATAAATGCTTTTACATCCAGTTTTCTCTGGCAGTATTCTTAACACCTGGTAAGGTACATTGATAATATCCTTACTGTGCAAACATTAGCTTTTAATTAGGCCTTTACTTGGAAAATTCTTTAATTCCATTGGTTATTAAAACTGATAAAGGGAGTTACTTTATCCCTACTTTCTCTTGAGGTTTGTTTTTAAAGGAGATAATACTGCTTTCAAAATAAAAAACAAGAAGTAAAAGTTATTCTGTCTAAATGATATAGCTATTGTACATCATTGTATGCAGGATAATGCCCACCTTTGCTGTTAAATAATTTCTTCTTCCTTAAAAAATGAATTCAAAATTACACCACGAGGTGAATAAAGAACTCGCATTGTGAATCTGAACATTATATAATTGCCACTCAGAGCTTCTGATTGGTATGGATAACTACTGTTAATATACTAAGCTCATATTCTTCCAGATGTGATAGCAAAGTAATTTGATCTCTTCAATTGTACTGTGCTATTCTAAGTAAATTTATGGTTTCTTTAGAGGGTTTTGTCATAACTTTAACTGATTATTTCTAAAGTACTGTAAAATATTTAGTTTATTCAGATTAGAGAATATCTAAAAGTCCTAATTCTTTGATTTTAAATCTTTTAAAAATATATTTTACTTTGGTTGTAAGGATACTTAAAACCTCTTGAGGAACTTACATTTCCAGTCTGGACATTAATGGTGGCTATAGAAAATGTTGGTAATGACTCATATCTGCAGAATTGGTATCAGTTAGCTAGCTGCCCTCTATTAAGAGCCCATTACATGCTGTTGTGCTTAGTATTTTTTATGCCTATGATTTTCACTCTGCTCTGCAGGTTTTCATATAAATGTGACATGATAATAAGAGGAAATACTCTCTATAAAAAGTATAAGATTGGATGTATTTTTCTAATTAAGAGAGAAGATTTTGTTTTTTGAGTTATGTTGTTTTAGCATTGCATAATTTAATTAGAAACTATAAATACCTTTGAATTTCTTTTCCTCATTTCTAGATATTCAAGAATTTTATGAAGTGACCTTACTGGATAATCCAAAATGTATAGATCGTTCAAAGCAGTCTGAACCAATTCAGGCTGTGAATACTTGGGAAATTTCCAGCCTTCCAAGCACTACTGTGACTTCAGAAACACTGCCAAGTAGCCTTAGTCCTACTGTAGAGGTAAGATGATAAAAAAACATTTTTTTTCTAAAACGTTTTCAGTGATCAATTTATTTGGGCTAATAAGTTTTTTCATTTTATTAAAATGGATTGTTTTTGGAAAATATAATGGAATAAAGAGAATACAGTTAAAATATTATCAAAGTTCAGAATCTCTTGCTTTTGTCTTAAAATGTTGTGATTGGTTTGAGGTCTGAAATATTTGTTGTAATCTATTAAAAAGTACTTTTCATGAGTACTTCAGTGAGATTCCATCTGTGTGATAATTAATATGGAAGTTGTACTTGGAGAAGATGATTCTGTTTCTTTCCTTGAAATAGAATGTAGTTTTATGGTTCTGAAACCTTTAGTGATCCCAAGGATTCCCTATATATTGGCTTGCAGGATTGCATTAAAACTCACTAAAGACTGATCCATAATCCTTCAGGTCAGCATTGGTTTCTACATTTTTTTGTAGTTAAAACTGCCTACTTCAAATTTGAATATCTCAATAATGTTCTGTTGTTGTTTTTGTCGTGCTATACTGTTGCTAGTACAATTGGATATAGTACAGCAGAGATAATGAAGCATTTTGTAATGAGGATTCTGCCTGAGAAGCATTAGTCATTTGAAAGTCATTTGATTTTAGTCCCTTCTGGTTAATACTAGATAGTGCCTGGAATATTGAATCAGCTCCTGTTTGGTGAGTAATAAGACAGGGAAAAGTGGTGGTGGGCAGCAACAAGAGATAGCAATCTGGTAATGAAGTAGCTTCTCAGTTTTCTTTTTTATATTAAGTAGCATAAAGCTCTAGCATTGTAGAGCATCCAGGGTGAATCAGAACATGTGATCCCTCTCTATCATGATAAAGATGAGAATGCTGAGATACAGAAGAAGAGGACTTGGTCTAGCTTATTTGACTCTTTGGGCAAGTTTATGTTTGCATTTCAGACCTCTTAGCACCCAGTTTATAGTTCTGTGTAGTAATTCTGGTATGACCTTATATGTTGTACTTCAATTAAAGATGTCAATGTCATAGTGTGTACATATCCTTACTTTCTTTACTCTCATTTTTTAAATTATTTTCTCTTGGATAATTTCTATTAGCATTCCTATTCTTCAGCTGATATGTCATTTGTTTTTAATGATAATTCATTTCCATGGTCTATTTAAAATGAAATTTAAAAATGTTTGAAGTCAGTTACTGCCTCCAAAAATTTAGATGTTGCCGATGTGGTAGTTTTAAGATGTGGAGCCTTTAAGAGATGATTAGTTGGCTAGCATGTGTGAGTCCCTGGATTCAATCCCTAATACTGCCAACAAAAAACAAAAAGTGATTGGGGCATGAGGGCTTCTCCTTCATGAATATGATTAAGGCCCTTATAAAAGAGGCTTTATGAAATTTAGCTCTGCCTTCTGCCCTGTGAGGGTGAAGCAAGAAAACCCTCACCAGACCACATGCCTACATATTTGAATTACTAGCCTCCAGAACTGTGAGGAATACATTTCTGTTCTTTATAAATTTTCAGTCTCAGGTGTTCTGTTCTAACAGCACAGAGTGGACTTATATAGTTTCTATTTCACATTTATTATATTAGTCTTTGAGTTAAAAAACTTGTTTATGTAAAAAAAATCTATAAGGCATTAGGATCAGTTATTAGCATTATAAAAAATAAATAAGGTATTAGAAACATTTCAACTTTTACAAAATTCTGAGGTGCACATATTATTTCTGCCTTCTAAAAGATGTGATCTGGACATGGTAATGGCACCTCAAGTGAACAGAAAAATAAGAACTTTAAACAGTCAATGTCTTATTATTTTGGGACACAGATGAGAAAGGAACATGATCACAAATGTTGCATTGGGCTTGACATGTGGAGAATGCTCTAGTTATGTGAATCTGTACTTATTAAGGAAGCATTGGGTTGTGTCCATCAAGTCCTAGAGATTTTTAAAAAGGGGGAAAAGATGTGTCAAACCAAAATGAGCTAAGGTAAATTACTAGGAATTACTGTTTTCACCGAGATGACAGAATTACTTGATAGATGTTACTCTGGAAATGTAAGTAGTTTGAAACACACCAATAGATAATAGTCATAATGACTTAAAAAATAACCTTGGAATGTTTGGAGACTTTAATTTCCATATTTTGGAGAGTGCTTATAGAGAAAGTTAGTGTATTCCCTTATTAGCCATCCATTTGTGCTTCATTTGAATGGGAAATGTGACTAAGTGATAATTGACATGATCTCTTGTTTTGGTCATGTTTCTGACTGAAAAGAGACTTAGAGAATTCACCCACTCAAATGAAAAGAAATGCAAAAAAAATTTTTTTATTGAATTATTACTTGAAAAATAACCTGAAAAACTGTGTGTCTTTCACAAAAATTAGATTATTATATTTGTATGCTAAATGCCTGGATAAAAGGTAAAATAATATTTTTCTAACAAAATGCCATGCAACATGGTCTTGCTTCATTGACTTCATGTTTGCTTTTGCAGGACTATCAAAACGAGGGTTAATTTTCAAAAAAGTAATTTGAAATTGATCAATTTCTGCAATGACTTGCTTGCCCTATTTTCTTAAAATGATGCTTATCTTTGCCTTTTTATCCATCTATCCATTTTTTTAACCCCTTACTATATCCTCATTTGTCAGTTACTTCATGATCTTGTAACATTTTTTCTTCTATTTTTTCTGAAGTAGTAAATTAAAATTAATATCATTTATTTTTATTTATTTTGATGGTACTAAGGCTTGAACTCAGGGCTTTGAACTTGCTAGGTTGGTGTTCTACCACTTAAGCCCCATACCTCCCCCCCAACTCCCAGCTCTTTTTGCTTTAGTTATTTTTGGGATAATAAAATTTTTGCCTGGACTGGCCTCAGATCAAGACCTTCCTGATCTTCACCTTCCGAGTAGCTGGGGTTACAGGGTGAGCCATTATGCTCAGCATTATAACTTATTTTTAAAGTGACATGATTATTTCCCTTTTTCTTAGAGTTTTGTGGGTTTGTTTCTTGGTATATCTGCCTTCTACCTTGAACATAGGCCTATGTAAGATACTTGGAATAAGGTTTGCTTAATGATTATTTCAAGGTAATGAATACTTTTTTTCTTTCTTTTTTGTACTTTTCCCATTTTTTAAAAAATGATAAGCAGGCCATTTTTATAAAAACAATTCTAAAATAAGATAGACATGCAGCCCCACTTTGAGAGATTATAAGGAATAGTATATGACTGAAAGAAAGCAAGATGGAAGAGTAAGAGAAATTGCCAGATTTGCTGGCATTTTTCTGTATTGATAGAAAAGAATACAGTTTTATTCCTAATATCACATTTCAAATGAAACAAAGATGCAAAGACTTAAAAAAATGAAACCATATTTTAAAAAAATGATTTGGAAATAGGGAAACTTTTTCTAAACATGATAAAATTGAAAAACCACTATAAAAATTAAAAGATTGATAGTAGAGCATGGTAATCCATCCCTGTAATACGAGCTACTCAGGATGCTGGGGAGGAGGATCACCATTTGCCTGGGCAACTATAATAATACTAATGCTACTAATGATAATAATAAAAAGGTTGGGGATGGGATTCAGTGGGAAAGCACTTGCTTAGCGTGTGTGAGACCCTGGGTTCAATCTCCTGTACTGGGGGCGGGGATGGGAGGAGGAAGATCAAGAATGGTACTTTGTAGAATTTCCTAGTGGACTTCACCTTCAATTTTTGAATTTTAATTATAGAGCTTTTGTGTCTTCTACCTGGCATGGTGGTGTATGAATATTCTCAACATTCTATAGGCCGAGGCAGAAAGATTGTGCATTCAAGGTCATCCTGGGTTACATAGCAAGATCCCGTCTGAAAAAAATCAAAGAAGGAAAAAAAAAAAAAAGTTCGTCAAATAATGCAAAAGGATTAATTTCCCTAATTTTCCTACCTTCTTTACCTAACTTACAACCTCTTGCAAATCATTGAGAAAAAAGCTACTATTCAATATCAAAATGACTAAAGGATGTGAACCAGCAGTTTGGAGAATAAATATACACGGGCCAATAAATCTGTGAAGAGATGTGCAGCCTCACATTGCAAAGATAAAAATTAAATTGACAGGATATTTTAAAATAACTTGATTGTCAAAGATTAAATTTGAGGAAACAAACTCTTCAGCAGTTGGTAGGGGAGAGCATAGTGGTGCAGTCATTTTAAGAGGTGATTTAACAATATAAATTCATGTCCTATGGGCTAACATAATGATACTAATTCACTCACAAAAATTATTAAAGATAGATGTCCAAGAATGTTTATTGCAGCATTCTATGTAAAACATAGAAAGTTTCTAACAAAAACCAATAAGAAAACAATCTAAATAACCACCAGTAAAGAACTGGATAAACACATTATGGTATAGCCATTCAATGCAAGGTAAAATAGGCATGAATATAAGTTCTGCATATCCACTGTAGATGGTTCTTCATTTTGGTGATTTGACTTACTGTTTTTTGACCTTATGGTAGTGTGAAAGTCATATGCATTCAGTAGAGGCCATACTTCAAATTTTGGAGTTTGATCTTTTCCCAGGCTAGCAATATGCTATCTTTTATTCTCTTGATGCTGGGCAGCAGTAAGCCACAGCTCTCAGTCAGTTATGTGATCACGTGGGTAAACGACCTGCACTGTGCAGTGTATGGTTTTGCTAAGCTATGATGTTCAATAGGTTAAGTACCAAATGCATTTTCAACGTATCATATTTACAGCTTATGATGGGCTTTATCAGGACATAATCACATTATAAGTTGAAGACCATGTGTATATGTTAAATGAATGAAAGCAGGTTATATGCCAGGAGGTATGACTCTGTATAAAGAAAGAAAAAAATGAAGTTAGTTATAGCTGAAAGAATATTTACTTAGCTTTCAGCACTACTCTTGTTTTTAGTTGTGCATATAAAGACTCATTTTTTTTTCAGACCTTTCAGAGTTCATCTAAGTGTGAGGGGGATTATCTGACTGAG